TAGAATTAAGTAAATGACAAGAGACAATACCATTTGTGTTTTACTTTTTAATTTGATAGAATTGAACTTGATTAGTTAAGATTGTAACATTTGAGTTTTAATTTTTAATTTGGTACAGTTTTTTTCAAAGAGTAATTTTTGACAAAGAATTAAAACTGCCATTACTTGGGTTGGAATAAAGAAGACCTTCAATAAGAATATCTTTGAAGATGAATTAAAACTACTACTACTTGGGTTGGACATTTAGGTTTTATTCGAGAAGTACGTCTTAGCGCCTGTTTTCACTTTTTTTAAAAAGATAAGAAGTTTATACTCATATATTTTACTATATATTTTATATATACTCTGCTATATATATAAAATATATAGTATATAAATATATTTAATAATAATATTCTTCTTTTATGCCAAAAAACGGAATAAAGGTATTTTACGCGATATGAGGTCCACCCCATCTCCCTTTCTGCTTAGGAAAAAGTCGATCGTCTATAGGCAGGGAGATAGGATGGACCTCGCTTCCGTGAAAAGTCGGATTCCTCTGGAAACACATATTGTATCTATACAGGGTGGTCTAGATCATCCGTATGGACCGACACATACGTATTCCTCATGAAAAAGTGAATCAAAAATGTCAATAGCAAAATGTTGTGATATCAATAACGGTGTTTAAAACTAAAAAATCCTTTTTACTGGGTATCGATCATATAACTTTTTCTCTAAAATGAAACATGAAAAGTGAAAATTTTTATACATGTATGTATATAGATATACACACATACATACAAAAAATTTTCACGTTTCCACTCTAAGGGAAAAGTTACATGATCAATACCTTGATGTAAATAACATTGTGTCGAATTTGCAGTTGACATCAATGAAACTTCAATTTAAGAATACCACAGTAAATGTTAATATAGAGATTTCACGAACCTTTGCAATATTTATTCGGTATCGTGCCGTTTAGCAGCATCCATCAAAGTTCGCGCGGCCGGCCGCTTAGTTGCGCTGCTCCTGACGACGCAAATTTCATATCCTGTGATTAGACATCTTCTAAAGTTCATCGTTTAAAAACTATTGATATTACAATATTTTGCTATTGACATTTTCAACTCACTTTTTCATGAGGAATATGTATGTGCGGATCTGAATCACTCTTATATGTAATATATGTAAAAAGCAAATTATTCTTTAACAAAAAATTCTTTAACACTGATGAAAGGTGATTATTCCTTAAACTTTTTTTATTAATAACTTTTTTAACGGATAATAACCGACGGTTAAAACTTGTCGGAGGTTACTCAGGATCACCTTGATAATATGTATCAAGATCAAGGTCATCCGAGCGGAATCCCCTGTTCGGTATTTTTAACATTTATTCAGTGTTTTAAGAATATACGAATATATATTAGATACATTACTTGAAAATGATAATGATAAATTCTCCTGGACTCGGAAAACTCCGGTTTGGTTCCTTGCAAAAAAAACTCACGCAGTGTATAATCAGCAGTTGAAGTTCGAGATACAGCACGCACTTTCCACTCGTTACCATATTCGGAATTTTCTCCTTCTTCCGGCCAATAACGCGCACATTTGTTCTAGGAAAAAAGGAAGAGAAAATGTCCCAAAAATTAGCTTTCCATCTGTAAGAGCATTTAGAATTCACGTACCTTTCCCCTCTCTATTTCCTTAGTAGTCATAACAATCACACGAGTATTTTCCTGGTAAACCATGTGCCAAAAATCTTCTATGGTATTCGGAAGACAACCTTGCGTAGCTATGTAACATTTGCCAAAAGATGCATCATCACCACCACTATCAACAGTAGTGTTTGTTTCATCTCCTTCTTTGTTCTATAAAACCATTTTATCGTATAAAATAGTACAAATTTTATAATACTATACAAAATATCTCCAAAATTTGAACTATTCTTCCAAATTCCTTGATTAATATAAAATCAATTTTTCAATGAAAATAAAGATAACACTAGTTCACAATAAAAAAAAATATATTAAGTAGGATTAAGTTTTTTATAGATTTTATGTGCTTTTAAATGCTGTAAACACGATGCTGCAAGCAAAAAAATTTCAAATAATCGAAGCAATTTCCAAGATAATCGAGATTTAATGTCCAAAAAATGGCTCTCTTAATGATATTTGACATTTTTTTGTAAAACAAAGATTAACATTATTTAAAAATTTCAATTAAAAGTTATGAGTACATTGTTCATCCCCAATAAAATGCATTTTTTAATTTCAATATCTTATACAGTTTAGTCATGAAGAATTTAAATACAAAATTTTTGTAAGATAGCAAATTTTTGCCTATATTTTTATCGTTTCTTGAGAAATACAGTCCTAAAATGAAATTGGAGTAGCAATGTTAAAAATTAAATTGAGTAGTAAGTAATTTAATATTATTGCTGCAAATATAAGCGTCTTAGAAAGCTATTAATAATTTGATGCTAATAAGCATTTTAAAAACTGTAAATTTTTTAAAGTTTAAGTTAGTTTTAATTTTAGATTTTAACTCGATGTTTTTATCTCGTAAATATATATTAATGTGAAAAATTGAGAAATTGCATTGAGAAATCATGAATTTGCTCAACATCTTTACTAAGAAAATTTTTTTATGATATTCTTAATTTCTGAGATACTAAATATATCAAAGATATCGATAAAATAATATTACCCTTATGTAATTAGCATTAATATAATCAGCTCCAGGAATATCAGATACTATGTTTTTTAATCGTACTCTAGTATGATCAAATGGTAAAATGTTTTTATAACGATTCTTGGCACGATTTTCTGAACGTAAACCTTCCTTTCTTGAAAACATATGCCGGCATTCTTGCTGTTGCAACGATTCGAATTCTTCCCAAAATCCAGCCTTTCCTTTTCCACGACCTGCTCCATCCTCATTGCTTCCACTAGTTCCATTCCAACATAGCCAACCATTGGAACAACCATTTTCTTTGTGTAATTGTCTAACTCTGCTTTCGATACTACTAGCATTAATACGCGTTGCATTAAATGGTTGCCTATAAATAATTAATGATGTTTATTAAAAACATTGTAATGCTCTAAAATTGAAAAATACTATAGAATATATAAGTATTATAAATTTTAAGTAAAGTTTTCAATATCTATAATTTTTACATGTGTATTATTGTATGTATAAATATAAAAATAATACATAAAATAATACAAAAGAAAATATATAAAATCCTTACCGAAGATGAACAACGCTTCCGCTTGTTTCAACCATTGGATTTCGTTTATAGTGTTCTATTAAATCGCTAAGACTATCAAACTTGTATCCACCACCTACATCATATTTATTATCCTGCAATATTAATTAGTTTCATCTAATTTACTTGCTTGTAATATAGTCAAATATTTACTTTAATTATCCCACACACACACACACACACGCACACGCACACGCACACGCACACGCGCGCGCGCGCGCGCGCGCGCACACACACACACACACACACACACACACACACACACACACAATGTTCTTCTACCTGATACAACTGAAAAAGTAGTACTCTACACACATGAAGAAATAAATCTAAAAATTTAAACAAAACTTTTTGAGATACCCCGTATTTTTTAAATAACTTTATCATACATACTCTTTTATACTGTTTTAAATTCAAAAGCTCCAAGTTTATATATTAGTAGTGATCATAAAAATAGAATCATATAAAAATATGATTTATTTATATAAATAATAAATAGTTATTTTACTTAATAAAATAGTTATTTTATCCGTCTATCTTTAATGTCATTTAATACATTACCAACAATTCATATCAACTAAAAAATATAACGAGTTATTGCTAAAATATAATTCATACTATATTATGAGAATCCTAAAGTGGCCAGTGCTATAAATAGTCTGTCATAATAATAAAGCAAATTATTAATGATGGAATCACACGGTGCTCAATTTCTTGCGTGCATACATGCATGTTGCTATACTTGCTTTGATGCATACAATTTGACGCTTGACAAATAACTATGAAATTAGCAATTGTTTCTTTTGATTAGCTTATGCCTTCATGCGAGGAAATAAGCTATAACTCAGGAAAATTAGATTTTTTTAGAGGCAAAATTGTCATAAATGATTTGTTTGCGAAAAGTTGTTCAAAATGACGTATTATACATACAACATACTAAAAGTCTTGACCACCAGCGAACTTGGAAAACTTGCTAGGTTCAAAAAACTCATCAAAAATGCGGTTTTTCAAAAATATCTCAGAAAGTATCCATTTTATCGAAATAAGGTTCATTATCAAAAAGAAAGCTGATTATAAACAATTTTATTTTTTTATTTTCGTCGGAGGTTGTACAATCAATACTTTCAAATAATAGAATTTTTTTTATTATATTTTTAATCATTTCGAGAACAAAGCGATTTTTCACACTTTTTAAATATCTCGGATCTGGCTACTCTCTCCCTCTCCTTCTCTTCCCCCTTCCCCTATCTCTCCCCTC